CTGAACCGAAATCCACTTAATCCCAAAACACAAGAGGTCATGAAAGAACAGGTTATAATTCCCAGCTGCAATTTTAGTAGTAACACCAGAGAGCCAACCCTATCTCAAAGCAGTACTACGTAGTTGACCTAATTTGAGAGCTACCCTACATTAGGAAATTTTGAAGCTTGTCAGATTTTTGCACTGCTTGGACAGTGCAGAGCAACCATGGAAAGAAAAGAATACAGCAGATTGTCTTTTTTCTGTACCTTTATGCCATAAAAACCCCACAAAACACATTTCATCATGTTCTTACAAGCCCAAATCAAGTCATTGCTTTCTTGATACCTAGGTCTAACTACATCGCTCTTCATATACTGCCACTTGAACAATTTGTCACCACTGCTGAGATATACCACATACAATTGCCTAGAAGGGATGCCTCTTCTGTAGTCTCCTGCCCAGGAAACCTCAGCACTGCTTTACTCTTTACTGAGGTCCTAGCTATTGGTTTACAGTGGTACTCAGCTAGTCTTCAAAAAAAAAAAAACTAACTCTTCTCTGATTTTTCCCCACCTCCTTTTCTTTTTTTTTTTTTCTTTTTGTGGTCTTCTCTCCAGCTTCTCAATGGCCACTTGCCACATGGCTCTAAACTCACGTTTAATGCCTCACATTTAAATGGGTGACTTGATATGCTCTGGAGTTATGGGAGACTGGACGGTAACAGAACTGATCTCCCGTTGTTCCTACTTCTGTCAGCAACTACAGCAAAAATCTAAGGCTGCTACAGATCCCTCCTGCTCTGCACTCATTTATCAACTCCTTTTTCAATTGTGGGCCAGATCTGGTCTGTGGTAGGCCTCCAGACTACAGATCTTCCTGTGACAAGACAAAATAGCTCTAAAAAAACTTCCCCAATGATCTTACCTTATGTGGAGGTTCCTTGTGAAAATATGTAACTTCTCCCTTGTCTGTTCCCACTAAAGCCAGAAGATGTTGAATTTTTTTTCTATCTTCTAATTCCCTGGAATTCACAAAAAGGGATCAGAACTTTGCTATTTCAAAATACATCAAGACACTGATACACTGTCATTTTAGTTTACTTGTTAAAATCCATGCGTTTTTCCAAACTGTCACAGTTCTTGAAAACACTGCTTTAAAATAAACTCCCAAAGACACTACTGATATTGCCTATACAATGAAAACAATACCCATTATGCTGGCACTTCCCTCTTTTCAAACATGACACTTAGGCTGATACAGTAGTAGCACAGATGAATAAAGAATTCACATTCCAGTAAAGTTATGAACTACTCGTAACCTATTGAATAAAATATCCGCAAGGATTTTAAGTATTCATTGTTTTTAAAGGTGGCTAGAGTAAGGGCTATGTCAGATTTTAATTACCCTTGAGAAACACCAAAGCACACCAACTAACATTTTGACACAAGTTTTTGAAAACCTAACAAAAACCTCGGGATTAGCACCCACAAACCTTCCAAAGCAGGCTGGGAAGTCCCTTGCCACTGGCAGCTAGTCTGGTACAGCAAGACATATTCCATTAGCTAAAAAGCATGGGAAAAAAAAGGGGTGGCTGGCAACATGATGCTGCAGAGACAGGGGAGACCCCTTGCTTTGATGTGTTTTCTGTTTTAGTGTTTCTACAGTTGAGGGAGGAAATTTTGCAATGCAGGTGGAAGCTTTAAGTCAGAACCCTCCACATCAAAGCCAGCAACTTGGAATTCCAACCTGGGTCTATGCTAAACTTCTGCTCTCTTTTCTACCACTGGAATAGGAGAAATTAAGTGAAAACATATTTGGCAGCCCAACAGATTGTATTCCAGTTCAAATATGGGTATGATTTCATAGGAGCCAGCTGTGTGAAGTGCAGCATAATTGCTTCCCTGAAGACTCAGGATCTCTGTGGAGAACTACAATAGAACACATGCAACTCAGAAAGTGCCAGTGTCACAGCCCACCATCTAGACAGCACACCTGATTTTCAGACGGTCATTCTCTGAGTAAAGACGAAGGACATGTTCCCTCTCCTGGAAGAGGTAGACTTGCATGTCACTCAAAGCCTTTTGCAACTCCACAATCTCTTCTTCTCGTTGACGTACTTCCCACTGCAATTTGTGCTATGTAGAGAATGGAGCAATTGAAGGATCAGGCAACAGTAGCAAACAGACTGCATGTGCCAAGGAAGGCCTGTAATCAGTTTATAACAACTGCCAGTTCAAGTGAATTATTTTACACTTCTACAACAAATTGACCAGATGAGGGCACTATTGGAGAATTATTAAAAAGTTTCAAAAGGAAGCTCAGTACATTGAGCCTAGTGTCACTACACAGTATTAATCAAATAGAGCAACTTCAGCTAGGGCCTCTAGTTTCCAGCCATTGCACTTTTGCATTATCAGTCAGCAGAGTGCAGGTACAGGGAGTTTAACTTGAACAAAAACCTAGCAAAGCTCCTGTAATAGCACTTATTCTTAAAAAAAAAAGCACAGAAGAACATATACTAATACATTTGTGTGGGTTAAGAGTAAAAGATAGGGCTAGTTACAAAGTTTCATTAATGATTTTCTCCCTATTGGGGAAAATAACACACCCCTCAGAAAAGCATTCTAATAGGACAAAGGGTACTATTTGGGAAGCCACCCCCTCTTTTCCCATATGTTCAGCGAAAGCAGTTTGGAAGCCTTGAATATCCTAAGGGCTTTCAGGCTGCTTCAAAGATGTTAAGTACTTGAGCAGGCACAAAAAAAAAAAGAAAAAAAAAATCATTCCTTCCCCAAAGAGTCATTCACAATTGTAAAGATGACTGCTAGACAAATGTTATAAGGCATATCAGAAAGCAAATACTAAGATTTTCCTCTGAAAAAGCAAAGATTTTTAGGTTTTGAACTTTCCTTTTATTTTGCATGATTGCTGTGTGGTACATCTGCTTGCTTAACAACCCATGGCCAAATTCATAAATTCCATTGCAATAAATACAAATTATAACTGTATGTCTAGAAGCTCATTAACTTTGGCTAATAAAGCACTCATTCTTCACTGTGAGACATAAGGGAAGGTTTGACTATAAACTCATGTTTCAGTTTAAAAAACAAACAACCCAGCTTGAAGCTATAATCCAACTACAATAATTTAAAAAAAAAATGGAAGAATGCCCTACAATCAGTTTTTTCCCTTTGCTTTAGGACAGAAGACAAGGACAACTAGAATTCACAACTAAGGAGTGAGATTTAACTATTTCTTCTTAGCTTTGTTCTATCATGCTCCTAGCAAATCTCAATACCATCCGTGTTGACTTTTTAACTGAAGAAGAATATTAATCCTTTGCCAGACAATGAAGTTTAGGCAAGTACGTGTAGTCCATCACCATCCAAATACTCTTTTCCTAACCTGCTCATCATAAGTTTCTTTGTATCTCTCCAGCCTTTTTATCAAATCTTCATGTTCTTCATCAAATTCAGCAATCTTCTTGCGGTAGTATTCCAACAGCTCCCGGGAAGGGTGGAGGAAGGCTAGGCGCTCATTGATTGAGGGGAGAGGAGTGAAGTCCCCCTGACTCGGGGATGGAGATCTAGTATATCTGGAAAAGACATGAGGGATTGCCAACCTGGACAAAGACATTTTCTAATGACATGTAAGTTTCAGACAATAAAATATAACAGCTTTTAAAAATAGTTAAAAATATGACAACAAGGAGGTCTATTTAATGCAAATTTTAAACACAGATTAGTATGCCTGGGCTCCAAGTATTAACAGGAAACCACAACATTTATGAGATATGAAGCTTTGATATAAAACAGTTTGCAGACTTACTCTACTCTGGAGAAAGGGCCTACTGCTGGAAAGGCAGAGAAGATATAAATGTTATGGAAGAGAAGTCCCATGGATTATTTGAGGATGGTGAACTTGAAAGGATGTAGAAAAGAGAAAGAGAGCAAAGTTGATAAAAAAAAGTCCATTGTTTGGCAATTGGAAGAAGCAGCCACTGCAAGATAAACAAGAAGATACAAACTCTGGCAAAAAGTGACTATCTGTCTTATAGCCAATGAAACAATGAAACCTAAAAAGGAGAAAGATGTTTTATCACAGAATAGTTGATGTTAGAAGGGCCCTGCAAGACCTGCTCAAGCAGGGTCATCTGTGTATGTTGCTGAGGATGGTGTCCAGACAGCTTCTGAATATCTCTGTGGATGGAGACTCCACAACCTCTCTGGGCAACCTCTTCCAATGCTCTGTTATGCTCACAGTAAATAAGTTTTTCCTCATGTTTAGACAGAAATGCCTGTGTTACAGTTTGTGCCCATTGTCTCTTGTCCTATTGCTAGGCATCGTTTAGAAGAGTTTTATAAAGAATGACTGTTGATTGTTAAGACGACGATTTTGGGTTACCTAATGAATCAGCCATTGTAGCTTTTTACAGTGTATTCTAGGAGTTTACATGCTTTCCTTTCCAGTGTACATGATACTGTCCACATAGTTTGCCCAGCCTTGATAGTGAGGCACAAACAGAAACTTCTGAGTTTGTGAAACTGATGCTAAGGTACTAGATGGAAGAACATAAAGCAAAATGAAGATGTGTATGCACAATAACATATTTGACATTTATTATAAGCAATGCTTACTACATTTGAACATTTAATCTACTGAAACAAACATCAAATTAGCATGTGCCACTGCACACAGAATCCAAGATTCTCTTTGGAAAAATATTTAGTTATTTATGTGGACCAGACAAACACCTTCTTAGGATACCATCCGTAACAAAGTTAAAGAAGCCTTCTAAATATAGCTAAGCAGATCTTTACTAAACAAACACACTGCAGAATCTGATTCCTTGTACCAGAACATTGATCACAGAGTGATCTGGCAAGTGATAAGCACAGAGGCAGTGCTTATCTTGATAGGCTGCTTATCAGAGCTGCTTAGATGGGGACCCCCGTGGACTACATCAATGAAAACCTTATACGCTCCGAGCTCTTTATCTGCTGGCACTACATGGAAGTACTATATATACAATGATAACACTATTTCACATAGCAACTTCCACATCAGCTGTGCCCCAAACTACCTTGAACAATATGCTTGCAAAAACAAGTAATAATAATAATAGAAGAAAGTTACATAAGCACAAGGTGATTATTTTATGACTGAGGCAAAGAACAATAGAAAAGGAAAGGAGATAAGGATTAAAAAAAAGGCACAGACCAAAAAACCTCACAAGCACAAGACAGGACAAAGCAGTGCCTTACGTTAAGCCTGCCTACCAGGCAGAAAGGAAAGAGCTCAACTACGCGCAGTGGTCGGCGGCAGGACCGGACCCGCGAGGGTGGTTTAGGAGCGGAGTAACTACGGCGGCAGCGGAGCGGGACACAGTTCCCACGCTACCTTCTGCGGGGAGGGGAGGCCCCCGGCGAGCGGTCCGTCGCGCTCATGGCTCCCTGGCGGAAGGGCCGGCGACCCCGCGGTTAGAGGCCCGGACGG